AAAAAAAAAAAAAAAAAAAAAAAGGGCAAGGAAGGGCAGCAGCCATTTAAGCTGAGACTCCAAAGACAGATCATTGGTCTCTGCCTCAAAATGTGCAAGCCACAACATCCCCAGCCCAGGATTGGCTTGAGAGTCGTAGGAGATGCTGTTTGGGGTCGATAATGAGGCTGCCCAGCAGGTACACCATCAGCACTCCAGAAAAAGGCACATCCCACCTCCACACCCTCCCCCAAATCCCACAGCCCTCATATTCCTCATGGAGCTGCCCCAGTGGGTGTAGGGCCAGGAGGCCTGAGGGCAGAACAAAGACAACAGAAATCAAAGACAGTTAAGTGACATAACCAAGGTCACACCGCAAGGGAGTCAGTGGATGAGCTGGGTTCCAAAGCGTTCACTGCTAGCCACTGTGCTGCACCACCCACCATGCTGGTCACTTAATCCTTCCATCTGCCTTTCCACAGTCCCAAGGACTTTCACCTCCATGGCTGTATCATGAGGACCAGTTATAGAATTTGCAGAGCCCAGTGCAAAAAGAAAATGTGGGCCCCTTGTCCAAAAATCATCATGAATTTCAAGACTCAACAGCAAAGCATTGAATGGTACGTGGAGCCCTTCTGAGCGAAGGGTCTGCTGTGACTTCCTGGGTCACACACCTGTGAGGTCAGCCTTGCTTGTGGCAGACCTTACCTCGAACATCAAGCCATGTTTCTGGCAAAAGGTTTGCACTTCGGGGTAGGCCATGCTCTGCAGAGCTTCTCTCTCTGCATCCATATCTGCAAGGAATGGCACAGAGGGGGTTAGCGGGTGGAACCCAGAACTCTTCCCAGCCCCCCAGCTCTGCTTTTAGTTGCATTTGCCCCCACCAGGGCTGGACCCTTTGCTTCAAATCAAAAGATACAAAAAAAAAAAAAAAAAAAAAAAAAAAAAAAAACCCACAAAGTAAACCCTGGGAGGTCAACCATAGTGGCTGGCCCAGGATTTTCTGGGTGTTACAGCTAAAAATCCCACATCCCAGGAAACTGCGCAGTCCCAGCCAACCAGGTTGGTCGTCCACTCTTGGTTAGGGTTGCCAGATAAAATACAGGATGCCCACTGAATTTGCATTTCAGATAGACAGTGAATCATAAGTCATATGACATAATCATATGTCATCATAAATATGTCCCATTCTGTGCAATATTTGGATACATTTGCATTTCAGATAAACAAATTATTTGTTAGCGTAAGTAATATTTGGGCCATACGTATACTATGAAATGCAAATTAAACTGAGCGTCCTGGTTTGTCGTTTCTTTTTTTTTTCTTTTTGGCAGCTGT